AAGACGAAGCCAAAATTGAGGTCTATGCAAATGGAGTCAAACGACAGGGATGAAGACATTTGGGATGAATAACAACCATCAAACTATGCCCTAGTTTTTACCTACTGAATTTTTGTTTCTTTGTACCTTAGCAATTCGGGTTTTCCAAACTCTATTTTGATAATAGATGTTAGGGTTATTAGTTAGCATTAAGGTTTCTTTATGTGCTGATCTCATATGGAAAGAATTTGGCATATGTTGTGTATGATTTTGGCATTTCGGTTTACTGCTATGGTGGTTATCATACAATGCCCTAGGTGCCATTATTGTTTATTTGGGGATTTGAGGAATTAAGAAACGTGGACATTTCGGTTGATGTTGCCATTTCAAATTCCTGTGAAAATATGCTAACCATGAAACTATGGTCAAATTCCATTTGAAGAACTTGAAGTTTAGAGAAGTAATGCATATTACTTTATGCTTGAAACAATGTCTGATATTATAGTTATTATTTCGGTAAGTTTGATATGAATCAATATAGCATATGTGCATATATAACTATCAAATTTTGAGTTTGATATGATTTATAATAGTTTGGGGAAGGGAAGAAATATGTTATCTATCCTTCACCTCCTTACATATCCATTGCTTCTGTTAATGTTAATACTATGTCACATAATGTTAATTTTTTTTTTGGTCCAAATTAGAGGTTTTAATGAGAAACACAAGAGAAAGTGGAACTTTTGTTGTGTTGGACAGATATATAAAGGTAATCTTCTATGATCCTTCTCTAAAAGAAGTTGAATTGGGAAATAGGCCCACAATATTTTTCAACAAAGAGAGATTGTAGAACATAATACAAAAATTCAAAGAAATAACTGAAAGAGAGTATGATATAATGTAATTAAAGAATAAATGGGATCAGTTAAAAAAGATTAGAAATTTTGAAAAAAATTAAATGGAGAGGTTACAGGTCTTGGTTGGGATCACACAAAGAGAACTATTGATAAATCTGAATAATGGTGGAAGAAAAATTATAGGTGAAATTATGTTTTATTACTTAAACTATTTTAAGTACTTATGTTAAAAAATTCTATAAATCAACATTTCTAATTGTTTGTCAATTGTATGTTGGTCCAAATGATAAAAAAAAAAGTTTAATTCAGCAGACTGATCAAAAAATAGAAGAGAAGTTAGATCAAATGTTTAAAGGAGTCATTGCCACGGGTGAATGCATGGATCCTAATTCAAGCGTTAATGCATCTGAACCTGTAGATTTTAAGCACAATGACAACTCAGATTCACTCTTATTGTCACCAGACAAGTTGGAATCAGTCATACAAAATGATAGCCATCTTTGCGGCCTAGGAGTGAAAGAAAGAAAAAAGATGGCACTGTATTCTTATGAAATCAAACTTCTCGACTTGTTTCTGCATGCAATAGTATTCCGTTTGAGCCTAGCACGTCACTTGCACCACCACCACCACCACCTATTCTAGAAGTTATGAAAGTAATAAGAGAAACTTCAAAAATTTATGAAAATGATGGAAGATCCAACTACGAGAAATGCGATGTCCAAGTATGATATTATTTAATGTTGTAGCTTAAGCGAACTTCGTAGATGTATTATCTAAAATGACTCATTATCATATTTATATTGTGAGAGAGTTCTACTTGATATGATTTCATCATTTTATTAATACTTCAAGTGTTTTTTAGATAAAAAACAAATAACGGTGAAATTTCATTATCATATTAATGCTTCATGTGTTTTTTGGTTAAATGATGAATAACAGTGAAGGACAACATCGGAAAAGAATAAGCTATATGCTTAATATATGAGTATTATAATTCACATATTGTGTGCATTCCTGGCTTGACATTATCATTTCTTGAGGACAAATGGATTGATGAGTTACTTTCGAGTCATCCAACTAGATTTCACAATATATTTCATATGCAATAAAAAAATTTTAGGTCTTTTGGAGAAACTAAATCAAAATCATAGCCTTCATGGATTCTCCAGAATGACTTCGAGAGATGTGTTAGATATAACCCTCTACATTTTATCACAGCACGAATCATTTAAATTTGACATGGAGCGATTCCAACATTCATAAAAAAAAATTAGTAAATATTTTTTAGTTGGTCTTGACATTTTGATTAGTCTATCTTCCAAAATTATTACACCTGAAGACTCACATTTCAGAGCACACCAAAAAATTTTGAATGATCCTCGACATATTTTAAAGTAGATTTTGATTTTAATATTTTTAATATATTTAAATTATACTCATTCAATATAAATAACTTAAAATATTGCATTTGTGGTATTGAAGGAATACATACTGATGCACGTGTACCTCAAAGTAAAAATATTGTGTACATCGTGTACTCACTCACCAACACATGAAGTTATGGTTGCGTGTGATTTCAATATGTGTTGACTGGATGGGAAGACAGCACATGATAGTCGGACCTTCCACTTTTTGTGTGAAAATGTCCATATAATTTTTCTATGCCGTCTCAAGGTTAGAAATCCACATTTTTCAAAAAATTTATAGCTTTTTCCTAACGTGTACTACTGAATTATTTATATGCCGGAAAATATTATCTAATCCAGATGAGATGTCACCTCCCAGATTTTGAACGAGTTAACTAAGTTTTTCGGGAAAGAAAAAAATATTTAACAAGGGGCACTTTTCTTTATGGGGTGTCATTGAGAAAATAATTTGGGTGTGAAAAAGGGAATGGGTGATTTTTCGAGACAAGCCTGCATATCCATTTAGAAAGTAGGAAAAATTGTGGTTGTAACAATGGCTATCCACAATTATATTTGTCTATATTCTACAGCACCTAACATTAATTTTAATATTGCTGACAAAAACTAATTGATTGTCTTTCCTGAAACATATGAGCATCAGTTAGGATAGTCAATATTACCAAATGATTTTAATATGGGTGATGCTAATATGCAGGATGAAGAGGGTGTTGGAGATATGATTCAATTGCAAATGCATTAGTTAATGTGTGATGATTATATGCTATTGTATAAGAAAATATGATTAATCTCTTTGTGTTGACTTTTTTTGTAATGATATTTATGTGGAATATCGCATAATTTGTTGCAGTGTTTTTTTTTTTTATCAGCATATTGTCCCACTTGGATAGCCGCCTAGGCAACCATGGGTGTAATATAATTTTTTGCATTTTTTTTTTTTGTTTGGGTGCCTATGATGAGATGTATGACCTTAGGAGTTCTTTTAGATAACCTTTATGTTACTATGGTTGTTGACATATAAGAGATCGGTATCAAGGCAGCCGAGATCACCTTCTTTTTCAAACAAATGATTATTGGGGTTCTTCTAAAGGGTTTTTGTGCTAATATGCTTCTGCGACAAACACGAGGTTGAAGGCAACCAAGACACCCTTCTTTTTCAGTCATACGAATGTAGGCGTTCTTCTGCAAGGCCTTTGTGTTGATATACTTTATGACATACGATTTCAGTATTACGTGGTTTAAAGGCAACCATATCCCCTATCATTAAGGTATTCTGTCTACTTATAATTACAAATTATTTGTTAGTTTATATTTGCTCTGAAACATCGCATTTTTATGGATTTTTATCTATGTATTTCTATTATTCTTATAATTAATTTTCTTAAAATTTTGTCATTGTACTATTAATGCAAGCCAATTTTATGTTTGGGATTTTCAACTTTTAATAAATAAGAGCTCAAGGACTTCTAGTGCTTCTTATGTTTGGATTGCAATGTTATCAATTTTATGTTTGGGATTTTATGTTACTATTAAGTGACATCACGAAAAAAACACGAGGTTTAAGCCAATTTATGTTTGGGAATTTCAATTTTATGTTTGGATTGCAATGTTGTCTAATGACATCACGAAAAAAAACATAACTATAGAAGAAAATTTTGCAGGTGTTCATAGAATAGATCAAAAGATATAACTGTGACTTTTTTAGGTTGGATGATCAACTCAAAGATTCTAACTCAGATAGTGACCAAGCGTGTTATAGAGAAAGTTATCTTATAGGATTGATTGTTTGGACTTTAAAATTAATATTGTGATGATATTACTTGTTGTTCTTGTATTTTAATTTTTTATTTTGATTTTTGTGTTACTATTAAGTGAGATGTATCTTTTAGATGTAATATTTGAGCTTGTCAGTTTTTTAGGATTTCAAATGTAATTTCTAACAAAACCCTATGAGTTATTATGTCTGAATAATTATCTTACAAATAGCACAATAATAAAAGGGCAAAATTGTTTTTTTTTTTCATAAACAGTTGCAACACCGCTATTACACAACATAACTAAATAAATAGACACAGCTTCACTAGCAGCAGCTTCTTCAAACAGTTGTAGCAGTCCCAAACAGATCCTTCTTAAAACTAACCCTAATAATCAAATGAATCATTAACAAAAAAATGTCAACTTCAATAAAATAAAACCAGTAAACTCCCACTTAAGGGCATAATTAAAGAGTTTATGGAAAGGATTGAGAAAATATGGTCCTTAAATGCTTATGTCTAATTCAACAACATTATCTACAAAATAAGTACTAAATGGTATCACAACCCCTTATTTACTTTCCCATTTCTTCAATAAGTCCCGGTGCAGAACCTAGCAAGGTTCATGGATATTATTGCAACATTTATAAATAGTTAAATTGTGGATTAAATAAATTAAGCAAGTGACAAACATGCTAGAAATAACCAAAAAAGGAACGATCCAATGACTACTTCCCACCTCAATTACTCTTATTTATGACCAAAATAAATAATCAAACAATTCATTAGGTTCATCAGTTTGACAGCAAAATGTTTCACAATATGTTTGCATAGCGCGCAAATTCATTAGACACATTGAGAAAATATGTGATCACTATGATAGACAATTTGCAAATGCATGATATTTTAATATCTTTAAAGTAAGCACGCATCTCCTAAGAAAAAAGAACAATGTGAATGCGGGATAAAATGAAACAGAGCTTCACCAAATGTTTCAGTATGGCAAGATTTTCTCTCCCGTGCCTCTGGCAGTAAGCAATTGCTACAGACTTTCTGGTAGACCCTATCTATAAAAAATAAGAATAAATGCTAGAAAAATAGTACATGCATATATTTAGGTAATTATGCTGCCAATATCGAAGAAGATACACCTACCTTGCAGTATTCAAGTATTGGTAAAACATGATGGCTTTTCAAGAAAACCTTTAGCTTTCCTTGTTCAGATTTGTCCAGGCTCTGGAAAGAGCATAAATTTTGCATCTCAATGATTCACAGTTGAGAATAAAAAACCATGCAATAAAAAAAAAAGATAAAAAATGAAAAACAGTAGATAAAATTTTGGCAAGAAATTAATCCAGAAGGATAATTTAACAAACACAAAGAACAACAAAAGAAAGTTAATTCAGGTAGCAATCGAAGATGAGACAAGTCAGATCACAAATTTAAGAAGATTCAACATCCAATATGTCATGACAGGTCAACAGTAAGCCGACAAATACTACTTAAGAAATTATAATCAAAACTAATAAGCCTGGACAGCACTTCAGAGACACTGGTACATTTGCACGATGAAGTTTCCTTGGAAAGAATAAATGGCTGGTGCTTTCTAATACATCCATAAAAAATTACATTTTCTATAATGCTGGATAATTACACTGTCCAGACCACGTCAATCAGGAAAATTGAAGATGATACCGTGCTATCATGGGTAATCCATGAAACAAATTATAATTTGACATTTCTAGTGCTGGATTGTTTCCAGGTAAAAAAATTGCCATGACTTGACTAAGTTGATGAAAGAGAAAGAGTTGAATAAGAATCAAACAAGGGTTGGTTATGATAACACTTAAAGAGTGATGTGCCACAGCCTAACATGATCAAAAGTAGGCAAGGATCGACCGTCCATAACAAAATGGATAATAATAGCCAAAACTTAAAACTAAAACCAATGAAATCTATAAGCGCAAATCAAAAAGTTAGAAAATAATGAGTAAACATCTAGAACAAAATTAACTAACACACACTGCTAAATTAATGCATGTTCTCTAATCTGAATTGGAAGATGATAGAAGTACTGTCACGATAGTAAGGAAAAGAATAAATTTCATACTTGCAAAATTAAATGAAAATGAGAAATCATGAAATATTAAATAATCAAATATTATAGATAATAAAGTTCAACAGAAAAATGGAGCAGGAATGATAGCAGAAAATGAAATGAAAGGCATATCTAAGGGTAGGCCTAATGAAACCTTAGCTTCTATTACACTACAGATACAGCAGTCCCTATCTTTGTGTTGAAGTGGAATGCCTGGAAGAAGTATTTGAGAAGAAAGCAAATTCCTACGACACGTATTAGGGAAGAGATATGATTATTATTGCCAGTGAATTAAATGGTCAAGTGTGTGGCTGTGTGACAGCAAGAGGATTCAAAGTAGCTATATGATACGAGATTGAAATGTAATTGAAAAGCTAAAGTTTATTTTATAGTAGCGTTTGATCTAATAATGAGAATCTGCTGTCAAAAGAAAGGTAGCAACTAATTAATCCTTAATTGTTGATCTCACATATCACAAATAAAAGTTTATACTAACAAAAAATTATCAAGGTTGTAAAATGATTACATGAAAAAGCTGAGCTGAAAAGATGTAGCAGTGGACTAAAACTAAAAATGTAACAAATTGGTTAAAAACTGATAAAAACAACTGAAAGGATAACAGGACTTCAAATAGGAACTGGAATCAATATACGAAAATCGATCAATAACCGAGGTGAACCAACTTTTATTGGTATAAAACGGCTAATGATGCTGATGTAACGATGGAATGAAGAAATGAATTATGTATTGCCCTTTGGCACAACATGAGATGCTTGACAAAAAAAACTTGTTATAATGATACAATTAAGCATTAGAAAAACTTAAAGCGAATAATTATCACAAATATTAACTTGAGAATGAAGAAAATAGTCACCCTCACCAATTAACGTGACACCAAAATATCAATTTTCATAAACGGAACAAATATAACAGCAGCTAGAAAAGGTGAAATTTTAACTAGAAGTTTGAACTTTGCTACATAAATAATAAATTCAAGGGGTTCTCAAACGATTAACCTCGATAAACCGAGACGGCATCCCAGGAAGCTCTGCCTCACTAAAGAAAAGAAATCCATTGTCATTGTTGAGGTTTTGGATAAATTCCAAACTTAATTTCTCAATTTGAGAACTTAAACTCTCAATCTCCTTTCTCTTACTTGAAGTAAGACCAGCACCGTTACGTTCAAAATCTTTAACCTGGCCAAAATAATAACAAGAATAAAAGTATCTAATGGCCAGAAGTTATAGTTTGCATATCATTTATTAAATAAAATTAGATGATTAATTATAATTAAACAAGAAACATTAAAACTGCATTAACAGCTTCCAGATAATACAAAAACATTCCTTGTCATGTTGACTAAATTGCCTGATATAAAAATATAAAAAAAACCATCGGATTGAATGAAGTCACAGTTAAAAATTTAAACACTTTCAGACCCAAATCTCAAACTATTAATTTTTTTGCATAATTCAAACAAAAGCACCATATACAGAATTAACAGTTTAGAGAGAACTAAGTAGCATTCCATGTCATGAAGATTAAATTGGCCAAGATATCAAAAGAAGGAAATGATGCTGTGATCACAGTTAAAAATTTAACCATTTTGGTACCCTTTAAATATTGAGCTGCGCCACGTTATCAAGAGAAATGGATACTACAAAGATGTTGGAAAGATAGAATATTGCATCGTTAAAATTAGCATATGTTGCATGAGAAACTGGTCCAATTATATTTCAAAAAAAAAAAGTTATGGATATATAAGTACTCTTCACATATAACAATACGCGTCATGTAAGTTTAAAATTCCAATGTTTGTAGAAACGAAACAAACTAGCATCCTAACGATGATAGCAACATGAAATGATATTGAATTAAATAATTAAACAATCAATCCCGCAATTTCATAATTTTACATACCAAGCTCTGAACATATCGCTTTGCTTCAGGACCTAGCCATTCACCCTTTTTGTCATAGGCCTTGATGACACGGTAAACATCTTCACGCTTTCTGATCACCTTATATAAAATCATAAAAACCTTAAAACAACATTATGTTAAATTATTTCAATGTTCTTAAATCAATACAAGTACTATCCAATGTGAGAGGATTAATTACTCTTTTGCAGTTGTGCATCACATCCAGAATTGCTCTACAACTTATTCAATTCTTAGTTTTGATATATTACGCTTGATGTGTTGCATGAGAAAGCTTAAGCTCAAAAGCTTTATAGAATAAACCAAAATAATGCACACCATGCAACATTGTGCAACAAATTATACCATAATAAGCACTTTTTCCGCAAAAAAACTGGGTTGTAACAATGTTCAATCCATATGTTGCAGAAGAAAGGAAAGAAAATAAAAATAAATCATGAAAGCAACCGTTCAGTTAATCAGAAAGGATTATTATCCCATTTATAATGAGAAAAAGACGGAAGCACAATTACAAGAAAATAAGATGAAGAATCTGCAACTCCAAGATAATGAATACAGAATATCAAACCAAAACAAAAACATAACCCTAAGATAATTGAAATTACCAAGGCCAAAAAGCTAAAACCGCTATTGATTTCAAATTGTGATACCGCCAAGGCTTCAGTTAAGGAAATCCTCAAGGGCACAAAAAGATATCACAGTAATTACTAATTACTGTTTATTGTAGAGCTCAATCCGCACCTACTTCCCCTTCATTTGATGTTTTGCAGTTATGGAGATTCCAGAGTTCCTGCACCATCATGGTTATAGGATTTCTTTCCTGGAGTTTTGTAGCCAGTTTACTACTATTTTTCTCTTGATCTCGCTCAAATTTGGACAACACCTAAGGTGTTGTCTTTACCTCGGGATATGGCGGCCTCACCATCTTCAGGAGGAAAATCCTATCACCCCGCTCATGCAGTTTTTGCTCCTGCTCAATGGGGTTCACTCAGTTGCATGGTTTCCTCCATTTTTGAAGCACAAAATCTTTTAGAGAGGCATTGGCCTGAGCATCTTCCTTTCCTTGCTTTCCTAACACAACTCCTTCAACCTTATAAGGTACGATCACAATTTTATTTTCTGACAGACTGCAGAATCAGCTGCACTTTTTGAGTTTTCATCGAATGGAAATATTTCGTTCAGATGCCCAAACCAGATCGTGATTAGGCAGTTTTTCTTTCAACCTAAAACTTTCCAGTAAATGTTTTGTAACTTTTTTAGATCTGTGACATATTCTCATCAGCCTATCTAATTATCATCTAGTACTCTTTTGTCATCGTGCCTATTACATCAATAACTATCGAATGTGTTTGTTCATATGGACTCCTCCTTTCGATGTTAAGGATAAATTACCCATTTTTCTTATGTATCTAGCCTTCCCTTGTCTGCATGTCCATTTCACTAACCCCAGAATTCTTCATATGATTGCTTTTGTCTATGGTTGTCCTCTCCAAACTTGTCAAGCTACTACGTTTAGCTTGCAAGCCTTATATTGGCAGAGTTCTTGTGCAGCAAGATATAAGCAAAAAGTACCCTCATGTGATTAGGCTTGGTTCAAATAAATAAGGTTATGTCCTTAGAAAATTAAATGAAAATGCTTCCTTTATTTTGTTCTCATTCTAAGATCAATGATCACATTAAAGCTGATTGCTTAGTAGACATCCTAATTTGAAGAAACGGACTGCTATTCACCCTAAATTCAATAGCACTGTCACAGAATCTAACCCCAATAAGGATGATGCATCATATATATCTGATAATGAGATGCACAACAGAAATTGTGTTATGTTGAACTTTTTCAAAGGCTGAGATGCTCCTGACAGGTACTATATTGGAAGAGTTGTCACATTCATAAATCAGAGAGTTGTCGAGGAGATGGAGGACGAGCAGCCGGAAGATAGTCCAGAGAAAGAACTTTAGCTCCAGGCTGATGAGGGAGAATTGTTAGTCATACGGAGAGTTCTGCAGTCAGAGCCAGAGATAGATCAATCATGGTTGAGGCACAGTATCTTTTGCACCAAGTGTACGGTAAAGTGCAACGTTTGTAGTTTGATCATCGGCAGTGAGAGTTGTTAAAATGGGGTGCCCATGCTGATGGTAAACAAAATAGGATTGGCCACACAGAATCTATCTCCAATTTTATTCTCTTACCTAGTTTAGGAAGGGAAAGGAGATACACGTGAATCTACAGTGCTTTGTCGAATTTTCAATTAGGATCAGTTGCCGAAACAAGTGTGGTGCATTATGGTTCTGATGGACTCATGTCACATTCTGTTAGGGAGGCTTTGACAATTCAACCGCAAGGCTTAGCATGACGGCATGAAGAATACTTACTCTTCTAAAATAAATAGGAAACTCGTCGTGTTGTTATCTGTTAAGGATGCGAGAGGTGTAAACGACACATAGAAAGCATTAGTCCTAAGGGCCACCTTCATGCAGTCAATTCGTGATGCTCCAGTGGCACTAGCGTTAGTACTACTAGAGGGAATTGATAAGAGTGAGATACCAACACCACTACAGCCACTACCACAAGACTTCCAAGATGTGATGTCGGGCAGTCTCCAGAGATACTATCATCACTAAGAGACATTTAACATGTCATAAATCTCATACCAGGATCAATGTTATCGAATGACTCGCTACAAATTAAAACCTGTGGAGTATGAGTTCAACGAAAGGTACAAGACCTCATCGTGAGAGTTGGTCAGAGAGATATTAGTCTTTGTGTTGCCCGTGCTCTAATGGTACCCAAGAAGGAAGGTCAGTGGCAGATGTGTATTAACAACTAGGTCATCAACAAGATTACAATCATGTAGCAGTTTCCTATTTGACCACTTATACAGACCCACCATCTTCTCTAAGATCAAATTACATAGTGTGTATCACCAAATCCGAATGAGGTCAGAAGATGAGAGGAAGATTGCATTCAAGACACGAGATGGTTTATACAAGTGGACAGGTATGCCCTTCGGCATATCAAACACGTCCGACACTTTTATGTGGTTGATGAAACAGAACTTACCGGCTCACATTTGGAAATTTCTGGTGGTATATTTTTACAACATTCTAGTGTACAACCGATCAGAAGAGGAACACTTACAATACAGTATATTTTTACAACATTCTAGTGTACAACCGATCAAAAGAGGAACACAATACCTAAGGGCGGTGTTTGAGGTGTTGCGAGAAGAGAACTATATGACGCATGCTCGGGAGAGGACAGGCAGGTCCTCAAGGAAGGGGGTTGTCGTGCCCTCCTTCCTCTCCTCCTTCCACTTCCCTCCTTTCCTTTTTCCTCATATCCCTTTTCCTTCCATTTTTTTCTTTCTTTCCTTCCTGGCACTTTACTATTTTAAAATATTTCCTAAAACTGAAATCTAAATTTTATCCTCCTTCCTAATTTTAAATCATTTCAATAAATCTAAAATATGCTTTTATTCTCCTTCCTTATTATAAATGTCTTCCTTAAAATTTGAAATATGATTTTCTTCTTTTTTTTAGTGTTTCTTAATTGGGTCAAATCTCTTAATAAATAGAAATTGATGTATATAGAGTTAGGGGTCTTGTTTTTTATTTCTGAATTCAGGTTTTAGTCTCCGTATTTTCCCTTCGATAGTTGTATCCGACGTCGAGATACTACTTTGGCTTTCCCTCGTCCAAGGTGATGATCATCTCCAAGAGTCCAAGTGGTGTTCCAACTGTATCGCGACCCTATCGAGGCATTTATCTTACCATACTTCCATTTCCTTGTTATCATTTCAGAATCTCATCACCACAGCCGCCAACCCAGCCTCCGACTATGCTCTTGCTCCTCTTCAGTTGCGATTCGACGCCATTATTATCGCCAACCTGCTGTCCTACTTTATTCACACAGCCCCATCTGTCAGGCCTTTGCCGTCGCCGCCAATCCAGCCTCGACGACATTTCTGCTCCTCTCCAACTACGTTTCGACGTCGTTACTATCGCTAATCTGTTATTCTAATTCTTCCATAACAGTCTCACTCCTCCGGCCTTCACTGCAGCCGCCAATCTAGCCTTCCCTTGTCAGAATACCTCCCCATCGAGTGTTTGTGTTTTCATTGTTGAGTAATTAGTTTTAATCTTTTGTTGTGCTTTAGTTTGTTTGTTATCTTTTATTATTTCGAGTCTTCATAGTAACCATGTTTTAAGTCAACAATAAAATTGTGTCATGCATCGCGGTTTGAGTTAACTCCGATATCACTTTATGCCCATCCAAAGACGTGTCACTTCATCACAAAACATATATTATTTTTGGGCTACAGCGTGTATAGTGTCGGCATTCATACGGAATACACAAAGAGCTCAGCCATTGTGTGTTGGGCATCACCACAATTGTTCGTCGAGCTTAGACAGTTTATGGGGCTAGCAATATTCTATAGGAGATTCATCAAAAACTTTAGTACCATAACCGCCCCCCTGACGGGGCTTTTGAAAAGAAAGGAGTTCAAGTGGACAAATCAGCTTAGGCCAGCTTTGACACAATGAAGGAGAATGTGACCCAGTCACCAATTTTAACACAGTTGGACTTCAACCAGTTGTTCGAAGAAGAGTGTGATACACCCAACATGGGGAAAGAAGAGGTTCTGAGCCAGGGAGACCACCCCATAGTCATTTTCAGTAAAAAGTTGAATGAGTCTATAAGGAAATATTCGACGTGTGACAAGTTATAAGCTATTGTGAGATACCTGGATCAATGGAGCCACTACCTACCGACAAGTGAGTTTACCTTGTTCACAGATCACGGAGCCTTAAAATTCATGAACAGCCAAAACAAGCTGAAGGCCGACAAACATTTTTGGTGGAGTTTTTAGTAGCATTCCACCATGAGGCAGCGATCACAAACTACATAGCAGGCCCACTAAGCCATCATCACAAGTTGATCACGCTAATGTAGACTCAAGTAGTGGGTTTTGAGATAGTGAAAGATTTGTACAAGGCAGACAAAGGCTTCAAAAAGATCTGGGAACAATGTTAGGAGAAGCTTACTGAGCAGTACTACAAAACTAATGATTA